CTTTCTGAGGTTAGCCACGTTGTATAAAATTGCATTTAACCTTATTTGCAATGTACTGTAGTTGGCTAGGAGAAGTAGAAACGCATTCTGTGTATTTAGAAATCGTATATTTATTCTGTCCGTTTGATCTGCTATAAAATCATTTGAAGCAAAAAGATAAACTTGAGGAAATTAAAGGTAAGCCCAGAAACCAATTTCTTAAAATAACAACAGTCAAACAAAGCTAATAAATTGTTTAATAAAGCATACGTGGGAGGAAAGGGGGATAAACTTATATTTCGTTGTTATCTCTCTTTTCTGGGCGAAATGGGTGCTCTCTGGAGCGCTCTTTGTGTGGCTGCTGACATTACCGTAATGATAATAATAGGCGCGCGCCGAAATATAAAGCGCGGCTGGCTTGACTGTGTTTTTCCGAACCGCGGCTGGCTTGACCGCAGTAATCCAGCATATATGACCAGCAGACGCTGCAGAGTATTAATGAGGGCTCGAGTGGGTCTGGGGGACGACAACAGCAGAGAATCCCCGGACTGCGGGGAAGAGAGCATAAAGAAAGAGAGAGAGAGAGAGAGAGAGTGTGTGTGTGTGTGTGTGTGTGTGTGTGTGACAATTTAACAATTAAACAGTTTAAACTGGAGAAAAACGAAAGTGTGGCGCGTTCAGAAAACTGCAAGTGTAACCGCGCATGCGTACAGGGGGCTGCAGTTCTCCCCCGGTCCTGCGGGGGCGGTGCTGATTCTCCACTGCGGCTCCTGTGTGTGCGTGTGTGTGTGTGCGTTTGTGGAAATGGCGAAGTTTAGAGATTTAAAAGTCTTTCTCGAGTCTTCTCTGAATGAAATCTTCCGCGTGACCGTCAGTGATATCCTGGACTCGGTGGAGCAGACCGTCGGAGAGTTCCAGCGCAAAATCCAGAGGATCGAGACCGAGAATGAGGAGCTGAAGAAGAGGCTGAGGGCGGCAGAGGAGAGCCCGGAACATGGCAGACACGGTAAAACACGGCCGTTATTAGCCCGTTATTGATCTGTTATTAGCCCGTTATTGATCTGTTATCAGCCCGTTATTGATCTGTTATTAGCCCGTTATTGATCTGTTATCAGCCCGTTATTGATCTGTTATCAGCCTGCTGTCCTGCTTCAGGAGGGAGATGCTCCTTTAGCTGTTGATCATGATGATTCCTCCAGAGAAGCTCCTTTAAATTAACACGGAGAGCAGAATAACCCGGTCCAGTCAGAGATAAACCGCCTGCTGTGATCCACATTCAGTCATGATGACACATTAATCTTCATTTAAAGAGGTTTATTTCATATAGAGGTTTATTTCATATAGAGGGTTATTTCATATAGAGGTTTATTCATCGTCATGATGAGCTCTGTCCAACATGTCGGTTTCTTTATCCTGGTTTCTCTTAACCCTGTCTGATAATGAAGATCAACACACTCATACTGATCCCCAGCATCATCATCATCATCACTGTCTCTCACACACACACACACACACACACACACACACACACACACACACACACACACACACACACACACACACAGAGATTCTCAGACACACACACACACACACTTAAACACAGAGACACACAGACTTAAACGCACTCATACATAGACTCACACAGTCACGCACGCACACATAAACACAGACACACAAACACACACACTCATTCACACTCATTCTCACACACACAGACACACAAGCATACAGTGACACACACACAGACGCACTTACACACAGTGTGTGTGCGTGCGTGCGTGCGTGTGTGTGTGTGTGTGTGTGACTTTGTGTGTGTGTGAGAATGAGTGGGTTTGAGGGCATACCCACACACATATTTATAGACACGCATGTCCGCACACA